TACTATAATAAAAAGGCCCCCTCACAAAATAGTGCTTTTATTTGCAAAGGATGTTGGATACCTTGTTACGTTATCCCTGATCAGCTGCTGGGAGATGCAGGAAGGCAGCATGTCCCCATTCTCACCTGGGGCACCTGACTGACATCTGAGAGTTATCAAACAGCGTGACACCCTGATGCATAAGACTTAACCATTTGACTGCATTATACCCCAGCCACACATTGTGTATGGGAGAACAGGTGACATTGGTTTCCCATTGCTTCTCTGGATTAAAAAAAAACCATTTGCGGGCGTCACCTGTGGCTCAAAGGATCAGGGCGCTGGCCCCATATGCTGGAGGTGGTGGGTTCAAACCCAGCCCCGGGCAAAAACTGCAAACAAACAAACAAACAAAAAACTACTTGCTATGGATTGGTAAAGCTTGGAGGAAGACCTCATACAGACTACAATGTCTACTCTTCCAGCTGCCCTTCCCAGCTTTCCCACAAGAGTCTAGAACAGTGTCTGACACATGCTCAATCAATGTTTACTGAATGATTAAATAAAACAAGATTCAGTCTAGACCCACTCTTATTGTAAAACAGATCACAGGCCCCAGGTTCACTGGCTCACACCTATAAATCCTAACGCTTTTGGAGACCAATGTGGGAGGATTGCTTCAGGTCAGGAGTTTGAGGCCAGTTTGAGCAACATAGCAAGACTCCAACTACACAAAATATAAAAGTTAGCTGGGTGCTTGCCTATAGTCCCAGCTATTCAAGAGGCTGAGGCAGGAGGACTGCTTGAGCCCTAGGCGTTGGAAGCTGCAGTGAGCTATGATGATGCCGCTGCACTCTAGCCTGGGAGAAAGAGTGAGACCCTGTCTCAAACAGACAAAAACAACAACAACAAAAAACCCAAACAAAAAAGACCAAAGACTAAAAAATAAAAAAATAAATAGTTCACAAAAGCCCCAACACTGTCATGTGTAGAAAAAAATCATGGAGCAAACTTTGAAATGGGCTGGTTTCTATGACATTGCTTTAGGCTATGTCCTGCTGAGCTCCCATCAGAAATGAAGGCCAGAATGGCAGAGGCAACACCACAGTGTCTACTGTACCATTAGTTCTCCCGGGGAGAGAACCGGGCCTGGACAAAGTCGACTCTCCAATCCCTATATTCCAGACACAGAGACTGGAGGGGCATGTGGGGAGTTTGGGAAAATCCCACTTACATCAGTCTTTCCTGAGAGAAATCAAATGAAAGAGGTAGACAGAGAATGTGGGACAAACTGCAGGTTTATGGAATTTTAGCTGAGATCCCCACTCCCTTGGAACACTGGACTCAGAAACAATGCAGGCATCTGAGACCCCCGGTGTTTCTACCTGTGTGAGGTGCCACTCACCCTGAGCAGGGAACTAAATTCACACTTAATTAAACTGCAGAATTTCATTGAAGCCTTTCAGCATTACATTTATACTGTTTTCTTAGAAATAGGTCTCACTCTGGCTGGGCCTTCGGTTTTCGTATCACTTTTTTGTTGTTGTTGTTGCAGTTTTTGGCCGGGGCCAGGCTTGAACCCACCACCTCTGGTATATGGGCCCAGCACCCTACTCCTTGAGCCACAAGTGCCGCCCTGTATCATTCTTCATTGAACTGTTTTCTAGCAACTAACACCTGCTGGTTTAATGTCCTGTCTGTCTATCTGCTTAGGTGTTACCTTGAATGGTGTCTGTCTGTTTGGAGAAGATGGAAATAGGTCCCATAAATCTGTCCTTGAGCTGGCCTTGGGGGTGAGGTATTTAGTAGGTTTCCTCTCAGATAGATATCCTTTGGACCGCACCAAGTCACCATTTCAAAATCTCATAATGACATCTTCCTTAGTCTTGTTCTTGTGTTTCTGAGAAATGCTTTTATTTCAGTTTTGTCTGCCCACAATCAAGAGGCTTTGAGTGGCCCTGATCTATGCGCTAAGACGTGAGTTTCCATAAGTATCAACCTCTTTGTGTATGCATTGCAATTCTCATGAGGTCTTATCTTCCAGGCCAAGCACGGGCTTTCTTTATGTTTTCTCATGTAATGCTAACTCCTGGGCATATCTTTTTAAGTATCACAAATTTCACCAAAGACAATTTGGAATTACAATGATCACTTTGAGGAATTTCTGAGGTCTCCCAAAACAGCCATATTCCTTTCTTCATACTACCTCTGCCAAAAGTCAGGTAGCCTTTTCTTTCTTTCTTTCTTTTTTTTTTTTTTTTGAGACAGAGCCTCAAGCTGTTCCTCTGGGTAGAGTGCTGTGGCATCACAGCTCACAGCAACCTTCAACTCCTGGGCTCAAGCGATTCTCCTGCCTCCGCCTCCCTAGTAACTGGGACTACAGGTGTTTGCCACAACACCTGGCTATTTTTTGGTTACAGCCGTCATTGTTGTTTGGTGGGCCCAGGGCTGGATTCGAACCCACCAGCTCAGATGTATGTGGCTGGCGCCTTAGCCACTTAAGCCACAGGCACTGAGCCAGGAAAGATTTTTTAAAGAAGAGATTTTTATGTAAATGGTTTGTGAAATCAAATGCATTCAGATGAACTATTTCCAGCAATTTCTGAAGACTTTCCCACGTATCCTTGACTAGTGCAATACATATCACTTCCCCTCTCCCTGAATGTTTGGCCTAATCTCAATGTGATGATTATGTGAAGTCTCTGATTGTTTCTGGGCCAGTTCTGATATGGAGAGAATTCTAGAGGCTAAACCTCAGGCAGGTAGTCAGACCTTATTCAGTGCCTAGTTCAGGAATAATTGATGGAGAGTACTAAATCATAGGATAAGTGAGCATTAGATCTGTCATTTAATTTCAGGTGCCCTTTCTCCATCTGTAAAGTGGTACTGAACCTGAGTTTCCATCTTCTTACCTCATGTAGGGTCATGTGATGGGACACTGGGAGGCTGGGGTGATGAGAAGGAATCAATGGCAGTGACATCAATATTCACATTAGTTAAAGCAGTGAAGTGTCTTTTCTCTTGGGAGGGGTGATTATGTGGACGACATGTTACCATTCAGAGTACAAGACAGAAAGACCCTTGAGTATAGATGCCCAGTGCTGGAGTTCATGGCTAAAGACATCTGAGTGCCAAATAACATTCAAAATGGGACTTGGATACATCCTGGTTAGTAGTAACTAGTCAAACAAAGAC